CCCGACAAGTAGCATGCTATATCGTCTTCATAGGGCTCAGGAGTCATGAACTAAATTCGCTTCGACAAGCGGCTTTGTTGCAATCTCACCCGTCCCGTTTTCTGAGGCTGAAGGTGTCATACTGGCGTTCCTCCTCACGAACGAGTCACTCGGCAACTTCCCCTCCACATTTCACTGCCAGCACCTACGCTCCTTATCGCGAACCGTGCCTTCAAGGGTTCTACTGAACCCCATGGAGTTTCGTACTGTTTTCGTCATGGTAACACTTGCCTTCAATATACATGCTTACTATCCATGTGTTGAATTACTTTTAGTATTAACGATATAGAATGCGTGTCTTTTCAGGACACGAGTTTCTAGGCGATCAGATTGTTATATTTTACGAGTATAATTTCGGTTATTTTCCATATTTTGCTGATTATAATCCGGAGACACCGATTAACGGTGGCTTACCTCAGGTGCGCCTTCGTGCTGATTATGTGATTTTTTCAATTTTTTTGTTGAGCTATTGTGGTAAGTTACAACAATGATATTTATGAAAGTAATTGCTGAATGACAATAGTGGAGGACAAACAGGAACAATAAAAAGCGGAAAGAAAGAGGAAAAAATTCCAGGGAAAAAATTATATGCACATAAAGAGGCAAGAAAAAAATGAGGTTCGTGGGCAAGTCAAGCGGGGACGGGAAGATGAGGTGATTCCAAGGATGTGGAGTAAGTAGGTGGTGAAGTAGAAACGGTGGAGTTAGAAACGAGCATGCCATTTTTTGACCCATCTGAAATCCTAGAAAACAGAAGCATCGGGTCCCCTCCTCTATTCTCTGACCCTTTCGGCTACGCGTACCCAACGTGCTAAACTTGTTCAGCTTGCTGAATCAGGGAACCGAAATTGCAGTTGGAGGACCACACTCGTTCATGAATTCTACCGCATTTATTTCTTTTGTTCAATGGGCATTACTTTGATGATTCTAGAACTGCCCTCTTGACAAGCACCTTGCTCGAGTGTCACAGCAGATTCGCGAGGCGATTCCACGCGAGGACTTCAACGGGATTGCCGTCATTGACTTTGAGGAATGGCGACCCTTGTATCAGATGAATTGGGGTCCAAAAACAGTGAGTGATCATTTATCTTAGGTGCTATTGGACTTGTTCAAGGACACCATGAGAGATTTAGTAGTCTTTCACAGAACTCTTTTGCGGTTTAATTTCATTTTCGTTCTCTAATTTTTTTATTATAACTTATGAATTGTATTCACGAATTAGTTATTTATTGAATTAGTCATAAATTACGATCAATCGACAAGATGAGCTACATATTTTCGACAACAACTTGGCTTTAAACCTCCAAACGTACATTCTGAGATTACCTCACATCCCGTATGAAAAGACTGACCCCTTCCAGAAAAGCTCCACGTGGGTACTCTTAGAGTGTACCCCTTTTGTCGAAAGTAGTTAGTAAGGTCGCCAGGGCCTTATGACGTGCACAGGTCTCCACGCACCGGTTTGCTGGGCCTCCCATTGCTTGAATTGCGTTTTTCGCGTCTTTTCTCGCTATACC